ACGCACACACATAGACATACACACAAAAACACTCACACACACACACATACACACACACACACTGACACACACACACACACTCACTCACTCACACGCACACACATTGACATACACACAAAAACGCTCACACACACACACTCACTCACAGGCACACACATAGACATACACACAAAAACACTCGCACACACAGATACTCAGATACACGCACACACACACACACACACATATACGTGGAGGAACACACACATATGTGCACACACACATACATACATGCATGCACACACACCCTCTCACACACATGTACACTCACATATGTCCACACGCACACACACATACAGACACGCACTCACACTCATACACATGCTGACACACACACAGACTCACTCACACACACAGCACACACTCACGCTAACACACACGCACACACTCACACAGGCAGACTCACACATACACACAACACACGCTCAGACACACACCCACACAGAGATTACAGAGGGACATCAGCCTCTCTGCTCCTATGATGCTGCTTGGCCTGCTGTGCTCATCCAGCCCTGCACCTTGTTGTCTCGGATTCTACATCCTGTTACTGCAGCAGTTCCTTATATTTCCTGCACTGTTCCCCAACTTGCAATTGCATTAAGAAACCATCTTGAATTCCTGAAGAATTTTGTGCTAAGTGCTCTTTGTTCAGCTGTCATGAAACAGAAACTGACAATTGAACCAGATTGCACACTTCCAAGGTGTTGTGAAGCTACACTTTCTGAAACACAAACTATCCTGTGCTAATCCGCCTGACACCATGAGTCTAGGGTGGGTTGAGAGGCTGTTTTATAGCCACTTTACAAACCTGAGTGCACCAGATGAAGATTGAGTCAATTGCGATGCCATACACAGGCAAATAGCCACTCTGGTGTATGACTTTTTGAATGAAGTACTGGAGTGGCACAAATAGAAAGAATCAGGGTCCAATCTGATCAACATTCAACTCTGAACCTTCTTTCTTTGTTTGTTTGGGTTGCAATGCCATTCCAAACATTTGTAAAAATCTCTAACTCATTGTTTATTAATTTGGGAAAGCTAATTATGTGTGCATGTGAGCAAGGTCCGTAGTGCAGGAGTCCACAAAGGATGGGCATAGACCATGGGATAAATCCATATCTTTATCTGACATATTACTATCTATTAGTCTGGTGAGACAATTCCAAATCAAGGAGCAGAATCTTGAAGTTTGAGCTATTTTGTCTGTGGATGGTGTCAGGAATCAAAGAAAACTAAAAGAATGTCGGCCTTTATATCTAAAGGACTGATATATAAAGGCACAGAAGTTATGCTGCAGGTATACAAAACCCTGGTTAGACCCCACTTAGAGCAATATGAGCAGATCTGGGCACTACACCTTGGGAAGAATATATAGGCCTTGGATGGAGTACAATGTAGATTTACAAGAATGATCCTGGACTTCAAGAGTTAAGTTATGAGGAGAGATGACACAATTTAGGCCTGTTTTCTCTAGAATTTAGAAGGTTAAGGGTGATGTGATCAAAGTCTTCAAGTTATTGACAGGAAAAGACAGGGTAGATAAAGATAAACTAGTTGGGAGCATAGTCTGAGAATTAGGGCCAGACCATTCAGGAGAGATGTTAGCAAGCACTTTGACACACACAGAGGATGGGAGAGGTTTGAAACTCTCTTCCACAAATGACAGTGGATGCTGGATCAGTTGTTTAATTTTAAATCTGACATTGATAATCTTTTGTTAAGCCAAGGTACTGACGGGTATGGGCCAAGGGCAAGTATATGGAGTAAGTCACAGAGCAGCGATGATCTTGTTGAATGGTGGAACAGGCTCAAGGGGCTGAATGGCCTACTCCCTGTTCCTACATTCCTCTGTAGAAAGCATGTCTTCACTAAAATGCCACAGAGAATCTGGAACTCTTTCTTTGTTAAATCTGGGGCATGGATGAGGGGAAGGTAAGGAGAAAGGGAGGGGATCAATCAAATATTTCAAATCAGTGATTGATAGACTTTTGTAGGTGGAGGGATTTAAGGGATCTAGAAGCTTACCAGGGCAGATGGAGTTGCCATATATATCAGCTGTGATTAAATAAGACCATAAGATATAGGAGCAAAATTAGGCCATTCAGCCCATCCAGTCTGCTCCTCCATTCGATATATGGCTGATATGTTTCTCAACCCTATTCTCCTGCCTTCTCCTAGTGATCCTTGACCATCTTACTAATCAAGTTATTAACAGAAAAAGACAGGGCGGCATGGTGGCTCAGTGGTTAGCACTGCTGCCTCACTGCACTAGGGACCCGGGTTTGATTCCAGCCTCGGGCAACTGTCTGTGCGGTGTTTGCACATTCTCCCTGTGTCTGTGTGGATTTCCTCCGGGTGCTCCGGTTTCCTCCCACAGTCCAAAGATGTGCAAATTAGGTGGATTGGCCATGTTAAATTGCCCATAGTGCCCAGGGATGTTTAGGTTAGGTGGGTTAGACATGGGGAATGCAGGGGGAGGGTAATGGGTTTGGGTGGGATGCTCTTTGGAGAGGCGGTGCCGGCTTGTTGGGCGGAGTGGCCTGCTCCCACACTGCAGGGATTCTATGACTCTATGAAGAACCTATCTATCGCTGTCTGAAACACACTCAATGACTTGTCCTCCACAGCCTTCTGAGGCAATGAGTTCCACAGATTCCCCAGCCTCTGGCTGAGAGAGATTCCTCCTCATCTCAGTTCTAAAGGGTCGTCCATTCACTCTGAGGCTGTGTCCTCAGGTCCTAGTCTCCCCTACCAGTGGAAACATCTCCTCCACGTCCAGTCAATGTGAGTTTCAATGAGATCCCCCCTCATCCTTTTAAACTGCAATAAGGCCTTCTGGAAATCTAAACTGACCATGCCCACTGGCTCTCCTTTGTCTAACCTGCTGGCTACCTCCTCAAAGAATTCCAACAGATTTGTCAGGCGTGACCTCCCCTTGACGAAGCTATGCTGACTCTGTCCTATGCACTTCCAACCTCGTCCTTAATAATGGAGTGGAAGAGGGCTGAATGGCCTTGTCTTGTGCCTCTGTGGGTGGCCTGGTGATGCAGGCATTGAGCCAAACTAACATCTTGTTTTGTTCCTACAGGGTCTGCCTGGTCCTCCTGGAGCAGCTGGTGCTGATGGAGCTCCCGGTGAGAGGGTAGGTTCCAGTTAAGATAGTTAAGTCTCCCAGTGAGTTGGAAGTTCTCTACCAAGTGGTGTCGCTGCACGGGAGAGGGATGCAGAAGAGATTCTGATGGCAGGTGGGGAGCTGGCTGGTGTGGGATGGGAGGGAGAGGAGATATTTAGTGGGGGGGGGGGGGGGGGGGGGGAGGGGGAGGTGGTGGAGGGGAAAGTTCTGAATGTCTAGATTTATTTGAACCAGCCTTGCTTCACTCTGATACAGACGTTCAGTGGTTTGTTTTAGAAGATTGTTTGAATTATATTCCGTCTCTCCTGTTGGATTTGCACTGTCAGGAATGAGCTTTCAATAGAAGGGCCGTGGCAAATCCTGCTTTAATCTGCTGGTTGGGAGCTATTTGTGGCTGAGATGTGAATGACAGGAGTTTGTTTAAATCTGATGTTTACAGTGAGGCGCCCAGTGTGAGCTGCTGGAAAACCACATTCAATTTTCATCTCACTGTCGCCAGGAGAACTACAGTGGGAGGGGACAAACTCAGAGCTGGCTCGGGGGGATGTGTGAGGGATAAGGAGAGGGTGCGGAGGTGGGGGGTGTGCGGGGTGACCTGGAAAGTGGTGGGGGAAAATGACAGGGTCAAGAAAAAGCAAATGAGGGGTTGGGGGAAGTGGAAAGAGAGACGCAGTATAGAATAAAAGGGTTGTGCAGGAAGACAGGCAGACAGGGTGAGAACGGGATTGGGCAGGGCTCAGTAAGGGAGGGGTAATGGGGAATGCTGGGATGGATGTTATGGGGAAGATCATCATGGCCAAGAGGTAGAGTTCATTCATCAATTCACTGAGACGGCTCCAAGCTCTGACAGCTCGTTCTCTATTAACTTTGATCAAATCAACAAAGACATATTTCCAGTATGGAGAAAGGTCATTCATCTTTCTGCAGGGGGGAGAAAGCATCTTTGAGGATTAACAGGCGCCCAGAAAATGACAAACAAGAAGCAGTTTCCAGTGTTCAACTCCAGGATTGCAGCCCTGATCTCTGGTCAATCTTCAGCTCCCTCAGTACTGAACCTCCGACATTGCGGCACTCCCTCAGCACTGACCCTCCGACAGTGCGGCGCTCCCTC